GCCAACAAATCAAATTCATAATCTAACATTTTTCGGAAAATCAATTACTAATACCTCAATTGTATCAGAAAATACAATTTCTTTGAACTATAACGATTCAAAGAAACAAGTGAAACTTAACGATTAATGTAAACAATTAATACCAAATGTTTTAACATGATGAAGTCATTGAGATTTATACCAATTTTGTGAACGATAACAAACCTCGTTTTCGCCTTTGAATTGGATTCGAGTAGTGAGATCGGCGAGAAGAACAAGGTCCAAAATAATAGGAGCAGCTAAAAGAGAGTCTTCACAAGTGTTGTGCATCACAATCGTGTTCTTCCCTCCCATGAATATCTCTGATGTGTACTCGTCCATTGCTCTCTTGCTGTCCCCTACATACGGCACATACTACAACACCAAACCAACGATATATTGTACAAAAATGTATAGAAAACGTATTATAATTAGTTAAATAATTTATAAGGTGTACAAATAAAAATTGGTATAGTAATTACCTTAATGACGACAACATGGTCAGGGTGTTCACCAGGCTCGTACAGAATTCCGTTGCTAGCAACCATATCGTCGACAACATTGCTCTTCGATATCTCCTTTGATCGGAATGTTTGTGGCGCGGACAAGTTCATGCCGTCGTTGTTCCCAAGGTGGTTATAACTCACTATCGACTCGACGTTGGCTAATATATACATATTCATACATATAATTAAAAAGAATTAATCTCGTTTTGTAACGTTAGAAAATAAATAAACTTATTTATGAGTATACATACTTTGATTCCAGCCCCGACAAGGAAATCGACAAGGACTGATTTCATCTTGGTCTGACCACTCTTGAAGTCATCACCACCGATCAAGCTATTTCTCCCTGTAATATATATGTAACATTTTTCAGTTTAATTAATGTGATGATTAACATAGATTAATTAAATAGTACATTTCTACAGTTTGATTTAATTACCAGGGACAAAAGTGTTTTGTGGGCTTCCATTGATAAAAGGAACGTTCTCGAGAACACAAGCAATGGCGTAAAGTGTAGAAGGAGAAATCTCAGATTCGTTCTTGTCCAAAGATGACATTAGATTCTCCGTCGTGTCGTTAAGACCAAACACCACATTGCTGTATCTTTCGGTGTTCGCCGTCCACAATACCACCATCTTAGAATATGTAAATCAATGGTCTCTAGATGATTTCTCAAAAAATATAAAATATAAATATTAATATAATATTATGAGAGTCTCTCACAAATTGAGAGACTCACCTCAAAATTTCTCAAATAAGAGATTTTGGAGTTGATTTCTCAATTTTTGAGAGACTTTTGTAATATTATATTAATAATTTTATGTTAGGCAAGATATTATATTAGTATTTGTATTTTAATATTTTTTTGAAAGACTCATATAAAACCATTGGACATGCTCTTATCCACTTGGTTTTTCTCTTTCAAATCCCTAATTATATACAATAATTTCATTATTAGAAAAAAAGATATTGATTTTCTTATAATTAACGATCATGCCATATGGCTAATGAAATTTTGGGACCTTCATAGGAAAATAAAACCCTCGTCTCCAAATCAATAAAGTTAGTGGACCCTTTAAACAAACTTTGAAGTTTATTCTATATTTTGAAAAGTATATTAGGGCTAGTTTTGTTGAAGTGAGCCTTTTACATATTAAGTGTTTGAAAAATGGCTAAGGTCGTAGACCATAATAAATGTGTCGTAATTAAGTCTATTTTTCTACGGACTTGTTCATGACTAAAATCAGTTTACTAATTGTAGACATGAACCGTAAATGTTACCTTATGTCCTTGATGACTTGTTCGAGTTGTTGTTTCTTGGTGCCTTTAATCACGTGGTTGGCACGTGACCCCTGGTTAGCTGCGATGAAATCTGGGTCGTAGATTCCAGGGAGAGGAACCATGTGTTCCATGAACGGACGTAGCTGCTTTTGGAGGTCGATGTCTAAGACCTTGGCTCGTGCCATTGCGTCTGCTAAGTTCATGTCGCTTATGTCCCATCCTCCAAACGCCATCTCTTCCGGATTCACCTATCCAAAACTCATCAATAATTTATTTTTGTTTTCCTCTATTTTACAATAAGTAATGTTTTTGAAATATTTTACTTCTCGACAAAAAAATGTTTTCATATAAATATTTAAAATAAATATTATATTTACTTTACTAATTTTTTTTTAAAATTCATAGGCTTAAACGTTTAAACATATGCTAAGTTAAAAAAAAAAAATTCCCTTGCATAAAAGCTAATAAAATATCACTAAACATAATACTAAAAGTAAATTTGTGAATAGTCAAATAATATATTGTACCATTGGAAGAAGACTTTTGAAGGGAGCATAGATTTCTTCGCCATTAAAGGACCCAACCCGAATAGAGGATGCTTGGGTTAGTGACCCGAAATAATTAGCTTGTTGCACTTTCTCCTTCGTAGCCCAAGATATTCCCCTACCATCATTTTTTTTTTAATTATTATTTGAAGAACAAAGTTAAATAAAAGCCAACTTGTTCATTATTCAACATTCAATTGCGAGAATATGAATATAATTACAATCCCACCCACTGTGTACTTCACGTTTGGAGATTCAACCTTGAAGCTTTCGATGAACATTTTTATGCCTAAATCTCTTTGATAAAGGAAACTTTGAGGATTTGTTTGATGCTTGTTAGAGAAAGAGTGCTTCTGAATGCATTGTGATTTGAGATCAAACTCGTATTTTATAGACGAGAGGGAGATTAAAATATTATTATTTGTCCAAAAATGACAAGATATTTTTGTTTTTGTTTTTGTTTTGTTCAATAAAGAGAAAGTCAATATATTTATTGTACAAATTGATGGGATTATGACAAGTGTAAAATGATTAAACTCTATTCGACGTGTTTACA